CATCTTTATATTCTAAAAAGTTACCCCATTTTTTCACTAGAATTCCTCTTAACGGTGTTGGTAGTGTGCAGTGGGATATTTTCCAAATGTTTCAGACAAAACTGCCTCATAGAATCAAGTTCTGCACTGAAACCTTTAAAAAAAACCTAAAATAAACTAACCTACAAAAGTGTTGTTCTTTTGTCCTTCTCAACTTCACAAGAATTTATTTGAAAATTGTAATGGTGTAATTTTCAACCACACCAGATTAGTCATTATTTACAAAGGACAGGACAATGTTAAACTATTCCAAAAGAGCATTAAGTGTCTAACGCTCATAGTGAACCCTCAAATCAGAAGGCAAAATATACATAAAATGGTTATTTGCTCCTGCTTTGCCTGATCATCTGCTGTTATGTGAAATCATATATCCTGTCAAAAGTTTAACAAAGCTTCCCTTTTCTCTCCAGGATACAAATTAGCAACCTGGTACATCAAATTACCCAGCTGTAATTCGCTGTTTCAGTCCGAGAGTAGCCACATGTTTTCAAGCCACCTGGGAAAACTACCTTGAAGAGTGAGTTATGCCCTTGGTCAGCTTCATTAATTAGCCAGTGTGGACACACACACGCACACACACACCCCACCAAAAACACCAGACTCCTAACATATAACATGATGTCATTCTTTAAATGATCATAAAAGACAAACCTCAAGTCTGATCACTGCCCATGTTTCAGTGGTTTCCCTCCAGAATGAGCACCTTGCAACCCCCTTTGAAGGTGAAGCATGAAAGGCGATCCTGCTGAGCTCAAGGATGCTTCCTCTAGCTGCTCATGGCCTGGCCCTGAACCTGTGAACACCACCTGATACAGTGGTGGGATTCTGCAGCTGCAAGAAGAATTTGGAGATGGGGAGGTCGACTTGGGTCCTGCACCAGTGTGCTCACTGAAGGGCTGACTGTAGTAAAAGGGAAGCAGCCAAGGGATGCCAGGAACCTCTAGAAAAAGAATTTGCCACCAAAGCTTCCAGAAGGCAGAAGCCCCCTGAGCCCCCTGACCTTAGACTCTTCATGCTCAATTGGGTCTTGTGTTCTCTATTAAATGTGTGTTGTTATTGGCACTACAGCTGATGGTAACGTGTTTGAATGGCCACAGGATAACTAATACACCAAGTGGGCCAGACCCTAATAGCACACAACATGCCAGAAAAACTGAGGAAGGGATGAATAACAGCTTCCAGGGACACATTAGAGAGGAAGGGCATTCAAATCCAAGAGAATTCCAGGATCGGAAGCAGATGTGGGTACACATCTACTCCATTTCTGTAGGCCAGAGGTCAAAAGTGTGTCCCCAACACACATCCTATCAGCCCAACTAGGTCACAGACTCGTAAAAAAGAAGCAGTCTCTTGTCTTTGTGTCCCTTCTCCCTGGCAAAATATGCCCCTCACTGGCACTTGGATCCACATCATTACATATTAACACCTTAGAAAGAGCTGACATGGAAGATTCATTACTGAGAATTCAAATACCTATTCATCAAGGAAGGAAGTTTTCTATTTACTGAAAAACAGATATTCAAATTAACTGAGTGGCAATCTTAGATAATGTGGAAATACAGTACTGGGCGAAATAGTCTTATCACTGCAATTCCTTCTATGCAAGTCTCTCCCCCTTACAGGATGGAGCAAGCACTCCAGGCAGGTGAGCTGCAACATAAACCAGCCAAGCGCCAAGGAAGTCCCTTTTCTTAACAGGACAGAACTTAACAGAGAAACCATTCAGATTACCACAAAGAAATATTTAAATGAGCTCATTAAATGCAAATTAAAACAGAAACATTGAATAAGCACTGGGCTACAATTAAAGGCTGAAGAAACAGCAGGTAAAAAACAATTTCCATTGATCAAAGAACCAAAAGCTAACAGAGTAAAGTATTTTGTACTGAAACTGCTTTCATGAATATGAATCATTTTGAAGTACAGGGAAATTTTTCATCTTTTCACAATTTTCAAAGAATTTTTGGAGGTAAGAATAAATTTGCGTATCTTACTGAAGTTCTTTCACTGTATAATATTCAAGCAAGAAAGCCATGATATCTTTCCCCCTACCCACACCCCAACACACAAAAAGTCCCCAGAAACAGGCTGAACACTACAAAGGGCATACAGTCAACATCTCAGAATCTTTGGACCCAAAGAACTGTACATAGCTACATGAAATCTTCCTTGTAAAGATTTAGTAGAAATCATTTCATGGCACAATTAGACCTCATGAGTTGCTTTTCATGTAAGATTACTAAACAGCATGGCAAGTAGCAATAAACAGGATATTCAACTAGAAATGTAAATTCTGACACAGTACTATTTTCTGTAGGTATGCAAGTTTAAAAAACATTTGTGGGTAAATGGCAGTTTTCCTGAGGGCTGGGATTTCTGTGTTTTATTCACTGTACCAGGTACACAACAGGTGCTCAATTACTGAGTCCACTAGGGCAATTACATAATAAGGAGTGGCCTTTTTCCCTTTGTAAATTCATTCTTAAATGAATATATACACTGATTTTCATCTGCCAGAAGGACCACACATGGGGGCTAACAGGTGCTGCTCTGGATGTAGCTAGAGAGAGAACCACCAAGGACAGCCAAGAGCTGGTGCAGCCCTGACAGGCACTCGACAGGCTGCCAGGGCATCTGCAGGCAGGGCCTGCTGCTGGGAGCTGAGGGCATCCTGGCAAGGATGGGCTCTGGGAGCCTGCAGCCCAACAGGGGTACGGCAGTCCTTTGCTGCCTTGCTGTGATGGTGCAGGGCTTCAAGGTGAGTGTAAAATAGGGCAACTTAAAACTCTAAGTGGAAACTACTGTGGGGCGGACCTGAACAAGCAAGCAGAGCCATGCGAGCTCTTTAAGAGGTATTAAGTTGAACAAGGCAAAGATGAGACAATGTTCTAATTACTGGGTTTATCTTCCTTTTTAAAGTGTAAGACATTGAATTTTAACTTAGTGCTGAAAACACTGTTATATGTATAACCATGTACCTACATATTTGTTATTCAAACAGCTAAATCCAGTCCTTTAGGACTTGTAGAACATCTCAACAAATACCAGCATCGAGCTTCCTCTTAAACACTAAGCACGGCTGAAGCCGTCCCCAAGCCAAGGACGGAGTCCTCAGTTTACCTCGCCTGAGAAGCCCGTGCGGACAGCTCCATCCCCAAGCCAAGGACGGAGTCCTCAGTTTACCTCGCCCGAGAAGCCCATGAGGACAGCTAAGCACGGCTGAAGCCGTCCCCAAGCCAAGGACGGAGTCCTCAGTTTACCTCGCCCGAGAAGCCCATGAGGACAGCTAAGCACGGCTGAAGCCATCCCCAAGCCAAGGACGGAGTCCTCAGTTTTGAAGAAGTAAAAGGCAGGAGACTTCATTGCACTGCAGTAACAACTGGTCCCCTTATTCCTCTCCTTCCGGAAACTCGTCTTTTTTATTTGTCCCCCAAAAGTTAGGCAGACTTTAAATAAAGTGGAGTAGTATGCTTTGCATTAAGGAGGGCATAAGAATGGAGGGGGCAAGCTCTGAGAGGCACTTTTCTCAAGTTAACTAAAAAAATTCTATTGTCATGTATATTAATTCATAAATATTTTTCTTAAGTTGAAGACTTTATCATATTTATATAATATATAGTATATACATCTACATGTAGCATACATAATATGTCTCTATATAACAGGTGAGTGTGTGTGTATGTATCTTTCCAACTAATCAGTGAGTAAAGGTCACGCTGTCTTTCCTGGCTCCAAAGTTTAGTGACAAAAAACTCAAAATCTGTGATGGTAGCACTTCCCATTACTTCTGCCTACCTGTGACACGTCTCAACACACCCATGTCAAAAACTGCCACCTGTAGCCAGGTGACTAAGATAAACTTGTACACGGTCCACGCAGTTTTTACGCCTAATGTAGGTTCCTTAGGGGGAGCCGAGAGTTTAATCATCCATGTTGAGAGACGCACTTGCTCATAAAAGCTAAGACAACAGCTGCCATCCATAAAGGAACACTTTGAAAATCCTACCTTCCTCTTCCCGAGCCACCTAGCTGGTGCAATCAAAAGTGCTTTGTCAAGGACACCTGTCAAGAATCATCTAGAATCTTACCAAACGCTCAAGACCTAATCTAGAGCAAGTCGAATCCCTATAAACACCCATGTTTTCCAACCGTACTCTGTGCAGGGATAACCCTGAGGGAACCTGTGACCTAACCGTCCCGGAAGAGGACATTCGCTGGCCTTCCACTTGACAATGTGCATAAACAGCTCTACGCAGCCTCTTGCAAAGTTTCATTCATAAAGCTGCACCGACGTCATTTTGGTGTTTTATCACTATTTTTCTTTTCCTTCTGCAGTCTATTCCCCAGCCCTCCCGCCAGGCTGCGGCTTCCTCCCGCTCCAGGCACTGCCCGCAGAGGGGCGCCCCGGGTCAGAGGGGGGCGCCCAGGTCAGGGGCGCGGGCGAGGCTGGGCACGAGGGGCACACACACTTCTGCAGGACCTCAGCGAGGCCGCGCAGCTCTGAGGAGCCGAGCCCGGCGGCGCCCACACTTTCTCAGTGACTGACAGGTGTCACCGGGCGGACCCCGGGGGTCCCGGGCGGCCACACCCGGGCGCAGGGCGGCGCAGAGACGCTGTGCCTTAACAGGCACCCACGTACCTATCATGGTCACTGGTCAGGAGGCGGCTGGCTGCCGGGCAAGCAGGGGCCCTGCGCTCTCTGGCGCCCGCCCGCGCCTCCAGCAAGCGGCCACTCCGGGGCGAAATCCTCCAGGCCTGCCCGCCTCACCCCCTCGGCGGCCGGCCGTCGCAGTGCGCACGCGCGGGCTACCCGCGACCCGGGGCCTCCTGGGAGTCGTAGTTTGTCGGCGTAGTTTCTTCCTCCTCAGGCCTCCCGCGGCCTGCTGGCCCTTTCCGGCAGAAGGCCCAGGAAACATACGTCACGGGGAGGCGGGGCTAAGGGCCCGCCGTGTTGACGAGTCGCTTAGCAACGGGGAGGCTCCCTTTTGGAAGCTTTTTGCGACTCTAGCCACGGTCCTGCCCCCTTCCCGCCCCCTCGTCCCCCTCAACTCCCCTCACCTGGGAGCTGCCGAACATCTACATCAACCTGGGCCCGACGAGGGGTTAAAATTCTACCAGTAGGGCGCCTGTTGAGCCCTGCTCACAACCGTAAAACTCAGTGTGTTCTACACTTTTGTCTGAGGAAAAAGATATTTTCTAGGAAGATGGTGGCAGAAAAAGAGACTCTGAGCTTAAGCAAATGCCCTGACAAGCTGCCGAAGAGGACCAAGCTGCTGCCACAACAGCCGCTCCCGGTGCACCAGCCTCACGCCCTGGTGTCTGAGGGCTTCACGGTCAAAGCCATGATGAAAAACTCAGTCGTAAGTGACCTTCCCGCGTTGAGTGCACTCTCCGAGAGGCAGGGGCCACTTGAGGCAGAGAGGCTGGCGGCCCCGGGATGCATTCTGAGTCTCTGTTGGGGTCGGGCCTGGCCAGGTGGTCGCAGGGGTCTTCGGCAGGTGATGACCACGCCCGGTTCTAGGCCATGTCCAAGAACTTGTTGAGTTGTGAACATGAGGGAAAAGCACCCGCTTCTCTAGTGGAATCCAAAGCTAGCCCCACTCAGCAAAGGCCCTTTTAGAAGGCAAGTGTTTAGCAATCAGAAAATTGCAGTAGGAGTTGGTAGACAACTGGGAACCAAGTACCTCAGGTCACACTCAGTAGGGAATGTCTTCTGTTTAGCTGGGCGACTTTTAGGGTAACCTAGCCTTGACTCCTACCAACATCCTCACAAAATCGGAACAGCCTGTGAGGGTGCTGAAGGCACCTCAGTGTGGAACCTGTCCTGACGGGCCAAAGGACATGTTTTAAGCAAGCCAGGCTTTACTTCAGCTGTCTTTGCCTGATAATACGATTTGTGTTTCGCTTCTATTGTTCGTGGCCGTAAGAAATACGTTCCCAATATTTAAGAAACATGTGTGCTGCGCAAGGCTTAGCTATGCACTAAGCGGGTTATTTATTGAAACCTTCCCATGTGTTTACAGAGTTTAAAGTTGGTGTGGCAATCCGGGTTCTAAGGAAACACCCAGCTGGGGAGAAGCCATAACATAATAAATGCAGCTTGATCAGCTGGGTCTAATTCACAACCTGAGGGGCTCTGTTGGTTCTGTGCTAACCTGTCGGTTAACTGGAGAGTGCTGTGTTCCAGTGTCACATTGTTCTACCTCAGTGTGGCAAATAAAATACCTTGCCCTAAACCCTATCATTAAAATAACGTGTGTGACACCCCCTACCTGTCGGCCTCTAGGCCACATTGCCCTGCTGCTCTACAAGCTGATGTGAAAATTCCTGGAAATAGACTGAAATTCCTTCCTTCCTTTCTTCATGGAATTTCAGTACTGGTGCATGTCACACTCAAGATGACTGGTTTTTCAACAGTTCAGAACCCTATAATTGTTCTAAATAATCATTCAATTTTTTTTTCTACACAGTATTTATTATCATTAGAATTTGGGTTTTTTCTTTTCAGTGCTATGTTTTAACATGACAAATGTATAAGGGAAATGATCTTTTTTTTTCCTACATCCCTAGAGCATGTCAGTTAGTTTACCTAGATTAGTATATAAAGTCCTACATCAGCAAATCCAGCTATTTCAGTGTTGCTAAACACGATAGATATGTGTACAAAACCAAAGGGACAAAAAAACGAAAGGGCTTGTGGTGCTTTTCCACACAAGTAAGCTTTAAGTTATCTTCTCCACTTTTCATATCTTAAGGGGAAACTCTTAGTAGGAGTGTTTCTCCCCTCGTTGAGGTCATCAAAGCAGAAACAGTCCTCTTTTCAGTTTATTATAACTAGAATTCTTAGGTGCAAATGCAATTTAGCTATTTGTTCAGTGATTAACCATGTTTTAAGCACAGTGTGAAGATTTTGGAATAGCAAAACAAAATGCTCATTTCAGACACTCCAAGGAAAATAAGAAACCAAGAAGAAAGTCCTTCTCTAAGGCTCCCAGCACTGTTGATGCACAGTGACTTTAGTAGGGCATGGAAAGCTTCATTTGCATATCCAATATTTGCATTTCACCATTTTATCTTCAACAGTGTAGGCTTTTCAGCATTACAAGGGAAAATATTCTTATCTCTTTCTGAAGACTTATTTCTGTTCTGAATGTGTATACCAGCTTCTAGTTTCCTTAATTGCAACCCCATGTTCTCCAGGGAAACAGGACTTTTCTCTGTCGAACCATCACTAATTAATTAGGAAAGTCATCAGCCCTGTGGTTTGCCACATATGATGTATACCCAGGACCCAGAGACGTCAATATTTGAGGGTGCTAACAGTAACGTAAATATTCAAACTTAATCAGAAACAATAGTTGATAAGATGTCATGTGCAAGCATAAATTCACATTTAATGTCATAATCTTCATATGAGAATTCAAAATTATTCGCTAAATAACACCAAATGTAAACGATGTTTTTAAAATCCATTTGTCAGTTGTGCTTCAATAGTAATTTGTTTCTAAGACATTTTTATTGCAAACTTTAAAAATAATGAGTCCCCAAATTAATGCCCTTATTGGGGTCTGGTAGAGCCATGGACCAGTAACGAGCAACCTGCACTGTGTTGTCTGCATCTCAGCAGGTGCCTCCTCTCTAATGTATCATAGAGCAAGTTAGGATATGGACTGAGGTGTGGTGACGAAGTTCACTCCCACCTGACCTTACTACTGGAGTTTTCCTTCTCTGCAGATGCTTTATGCTCAAAGTCACAGGGAGTGGAAGAATTCATTCTTTAATATAGCTTTAAATTCATAAGGAATCATATTTATAGCCATATGTTCATTGGATACACAATGTTAACAATTTGTGTTTATAAATTATACAATAAGATCTTGATTTGCCTACTTTAAACAGAGACCAAACAACAATAGCTTTACTGAGATGGAAATTATTCTGTGAGATATTGAAGTTCAAGTTTGTAGGGAATCCAAGTAGGTCAGACAGTTTTCCCCATGAAATAGGTGAAAGGGCAGAGGACCCTTATATGTGCTTGCTTTGTGTCTATAGGCTGATACCTGGGGTAAGGTGGACCATCACTGTAGGACACCATTGTTAGGAAGGAGGTAGAGGAACCCAAGGGCTGCCCACTGGGAGCATGGTGCAGGTACTGCATCCAACTGTCCCTCACATCCCACTAGCTAGAATTTAGTTATACATTTAGTCTGCAAAAGCCATCCAAATACTTGCTTTTGAAGAACTCTCAGATCTGCATACCTGTTTCATCAGAAAGTACGAAAGCTCAGTAGTTCCCAAAACATCTACTTTCCAGCATTGACATCAGGCAGAGGAAAGTGAGTCAAGGGCCACCTGCAGGAATAAGGCAGGAAGAACTAGAGTGCAACCAGCTTCATTACTATGAGGGCAGGTTCCAGGAGGTGGGAGGAATTGGCCTTTCTGGTCATTCTTGAATCTGTTGCCAACACTTAGGTCAGTGGCCACGGCTGGTGGCAAGAGACTGGGAAATAAGCAACTGGTAGCTCTGTGTCTAGCTCAAACTCCAAGTGTCTTATTCTTGAAGAAAAGGAAGCAAGGCACTGTGAGCGATGGTTAGAACTGTATGCCACAAGCACTGAACATGCTCTATTGTCAGTGAAAAAGGGAGCGGGATGTGTAAGATAATTGTAGTGTAACGAATACATAGGCAGTACGGGGGAAACACTGACAATGAAAGGACCAAGTGTCAGGGAAATTTGAAATTTTGAGACTGGCTTACTGCACTAAGCATAATGGTTTTTAGTTGTATCCAGTTTGCTGCAAAAGACAGGATTTCATTCGTTTTATGGCTGAGTAGTATCCTATAGCGTATACACATCGCATTATCTTTATTCATTCGTGAGTTAATAGGCATCTGGTTTGATTTGCTATTTCAACTATTATGTATTGAATTACATGGGATTACAACTGATTCTTTCCTTAATGATTTCAATTCATTTGACAACTTTCCAAGAGTGGGATGGCTAGATCTCTGAGGAGCCTGTATACTGTCTTCCACAGCTATCCCAGTTTACATTCCCACCAGTGGCAGATTAGAGTATCTTTTTCTCCTATATCCTTATCAACCTTTATTATTGTTTTGATTTCTGGGTGACAGCCATTCTAACTGGAAAGAGGGGAACCTCATTGTAGGTTCCATTTACATTTTCCTGTGACCCCTTAGCCTTTTATCATGTGTCTTGGCCAGTTGCATTTCATCCTTAAAAGTGCCTGTTCATGTCCTTCACCCATTTCTTAATTGCATTATCTTGTTGTGGAGTTTTTTGAGTACACAATGGATATTAATTCCCTACAGTTGTGCATGTATAAATATTTTGTCCCGTTCTGTTGTTGTCCCTTTATTTTGTTGAGTGTTTTCCTTTGCAGAGCAGAAGCTTCATAGCATGATACAATCCCATTTGTTTATGTTTTGCTTTTATTGCGTGTGCTTTTGGGATCTTTTCCAAGCAATGTTTGCCACATAGTTCCATCGATGTGTTTCTCTAGGAATTTGATGGTATCAGGTAAAAGATTTAGATCCATTTTGTTTGAAGTTTGACATTTTATCAGGACAAGAGTGCTTTTACAGCTCCATCAGGACATGGTCTTCGTCAGGTGGCTTCCATTGCCCTGTGTGAGCCAGCCACCCTTGGATGTCATCAACATTGAGTTTCCTGCTATTCTTTGAATGCACCCGTTTCAGAGCCGCCTCCATGTGCTTGTTTGCCCAGTCTCCTCCGACTAAAATGTGTTTTCCACTCTGTATCAGCTCTTCTTGATGCTTCAAACTCTCATTCAAAAGTTACTTTTTAGTGAGTCCTTCTCATACAACTCTATTAAGATGTCAGATTCCTATTAAACCCTCCATCCCTGTTCTAGCTATCCCAAATCCCTTTTCTGTTTTACATTTGATCCTTCGTTAAGCTGATCCTGTGTTTTTCCCCCACTGGAGAGTAAGCCCCTTCAAGGCAGGGAATTATACCTTTTCACTTATTGTGTCAGGCCCTGCTCAGGAAGAGTTCCTGGAGTATGACCCGACCTGTGCTATGATGCTTTTGGATGAAATGAATCACTGAATATTTTATAGCATAGGTGGATAATCAGCTCTAAATTACAAGTTACAAAGTGCTGATGGCTTGACATAAATATTGAACATAGGAATGAAAATAATTCACAAGTGTTATATGCAATATTTTATAAGCTTATCGTGAAAGTTATACATATTCATTCAAAAGGATAAAGCAGTTTGGCTTAGATTATGAGGGGAAAATAGTATTTTTATCTCCCTCTCTTACATTTCTGTTTCACTTTAAAACTTTTGCATTATTTTAAATCATTTTGG